TTTCTTAAACATGTTGCTTGTCAATGTCAAAGAGGAGAGGGGTGAAAAACCCCAGTGTACTTGAAAACAAACTGTGTACTGACAAAATGCCAGCGGGCAATTTCAACAAGCAGGGCTGAAGCAACTTGAAGCATTTAGAAAATAGAGGCAGAGCTTTTAAAAAAATTGTGACAGATTAGTCACTGCTGCCTCCAAAAGATTGGCTAATGGAAGATGACTATACGCTTTCACAAATAACAGGAAAGAGTCCAGAAAGTTCATCAGCTGAGAATGCTATTACAGTAACAAAAGAGGGTTTCTAAATGGGAGTAAAAACGGTATACAAGGTGTTCCAGAAGGAAAATGCGATAGATTGGGAACATTAGAGGAAACCATGGATGCACCAGGAAAAGATGGCATGCATGCAGCAGGTCAAAGGGGTGATGCATGGATGGCCCCAGAAGAATGGATGATGTGGATGCAGAAGAAAACAAGAGAGAATTGAAGCGGTGCACCACCAGCTTACCTGAAACATTTGTCAACTCACAGCCTGTTGAAAAGCAATATTGCAGCCGTTAGAAGCTCAATCAGATTTGAATCAAGACCTATTGATGCGTCTGTCCATGGTGTCATGCTTAACACAAACAACAACTTCAAGTTATAACACACTGAATATGAAGATTATAGGAAAGGCTTGGGTTGGTCAGAGCGAAATTCAGACATTCTATCACCAAAGTGGCCACAAGATCTGTGAGTTGCTTTGAGTGCAATCCTGCACATGCATGGAGAGAAAAAAGTGGCTGGATGGGGAATGTTGGGAGTTGTAGGACTTATTTCTGTCTTAGCCTGTTTTTTTCTTTTTAATTTGATTGGTACAGCATTCCACCTTGAAACAGTGGAAATTATTTCTGCTCTCCCTTCCATTTCTTAGTGATTTTTAGTTTTACATCACCAACTCGTAAGTTTAATTCATGGGGATCCAGGCACAGTCACCCTGCACTCACAATCTCCCCTCATTTTCCTGCTTCTGCTTTCTTTCTTATCAAAGAAAAACTGATGAGGAACAGACTCATCTGGTTTTTGACAAGGGCAGGCATCTTGACATTTTGGTTCAGAGCTCCTATTATCCCCCAGCACTGGCGATGCTGGCTGGGGCTGATGGGAGTTGGAGGCCACACATTCTGGGGAGCCACAAGTCACCAGCCCCATGCCTCTCTCTCTCTCTCTCTCTCTCTTTACTGCTGGAGGAGGGCCTGGGCTGCTAAGCGACTGTGAAGAAAATTCCTTGTTCCAGCCTAACACAGTTTCTGATTCCCACCGAAAAATGTCACCCAAGATTTGAGCAATCCTTTCTACCTAAGATATATAAGGAGGTAAGTTTGCATAAAGAACGGCCTACAGTTTAAGCCTCCCTCCCAACCTCCCTTCCAGTCGAGGCTCAGTGATGGCATGATAAATGTCCAGAAGCACCTTCAGCCATGTGCAAAAGTTCAGGGAACCAATCCTCCCTCTTGAAAAAAATCTGCACCCTCTGACGTACATGCATGACTCCGGAGCGTGCCTGGGGTCTTTGGAAGAGAACCTTCCTGAATGCACGTGGGTACAGCGAGTCTACGCATGTTGACTCGCGAACAAGCCCCCTGATAGTCAACGAGCCTTGGGTTGCAAAGGGAAAGCTCGATTCTGCATATGCTTGCTGGAAAGCGAGCCCCACAGAGTTCGATACGACTCGCAAGCGAGCCCGTGCTGAACTGCAACCGAAGAGCCAGTCCTTGCTGCATGTTTACTCAGGAGTAAGTGTCTAGCACTGAACAGCCTTTCGCCCCCGTTCAATAGTCCTCTGTTTGCAACTGACTGTTCGTTGCGCTGCAGATTTGCTCGGAAGTAAACCCTGCCTTGAATGGAACTTTACTCTCTCGATAGCGTGTTCTCGGATTGCAGCCCCGGGCTCCTCGTTGCAACATTTGTTGTGCAAGGCGGGCCTGCACGCCCCTCTGGAGAAAAGCGGGAAGCCAGGCGCGTCTCGCCGGTGAGGATGGCCGGAGGGGCCCTCTGCAGGCCCGCCGGGAGATCCAGGCGGGGGCCTGGACTGGGATTGGGACGGCGGGAGAGGGGCAGATCACAAGGGAGGGCTAGATGGAGCACCAAGAAGAATAGGGGGTGCTTGTTACTCGCAAGGAAGATGATGAAGGAGAATTCATTTTTAGGGGAATATAATGGGGGGAAGATAATTTCAATTTTAGGGGAAATTTAGGAATAAGGGTTCCATAGCAAGGATAGGAAAGGAGCAGCTGGGAAAGCTGTAGGGTGGTCGCGGTCCTGCGCGTGCTTGCTGGTATTTAGCCCCACCGCGTTCCTCCAAAGTAAATGTGCATGGGGTTAGGTTTGGAAGCGGTGAGATTTACTTCCGAGTAGAAAATACGCATACGATCCTGTTGTGAGGCTCCAGTCAAATGCACGAGGACGAGGGAATAAGATCTGTGAAACTAGGTGGGATTTGATTATAAGAAAGCAGGCACCGGGGTCTCTAAAGAATCTTAAAAGACACAGCCCACTAAACCCTATGCATGTTTACTCAGAAGTAAATCAACATGCCCCGGGTAAGTGTGCATGGATTTACGGGCCGAATGCTGCAATCTCATTGCTTTTACGTAGAAGTAAGGATTTCAGCAGGAACGAAGTTTGAGTAACCCCAAGGCGTTTTGTAAGACCTGGTGAAATCCTCTCCACTTAGGAAATGTTTCATGGGTTCCAGATTTCCTACATGGAATAAGAATTAATGCAAAGTTCTGGTGTTGGTGCTTTTTATGTGATGGTTATGATGCGAGTTGGGTGCGTTAGTGGGTTAAACCATTGAGCCACTGGGCTGTTATCTGGAAGGTTGGCAGTCGAATCTGCAATGGAGTGTATGCCGGCTGCTTTGTCCCAGCTCTTGCCTACCTTGCAGTTGGAAAGCATGCAATATGCAAGTAGCTAAATAGGTACCACTTTGATGGGAAAGGTGACGGTGTTCCATGCACCTTGGAGTTCAGTCATGCTGCCCACATGACCACGGAAGCATCTTCGGACGGTGGTGGTTCTTTGGCTTACAAATGGAGATGAGCACTGGCTAACACCCATGTGCAGGGACAGCTTTCCCTTTTACCTTGATGTTCACAGAACAATAAAACAAAAATGCATGTGCCATATCCCATAATAACATGTCCAGAGTGTTCTGGTAATTCCTGCAGAATGTAAAGAGTGGTGTTTTTAAAGAAAAGTGTTCAGGGGACATGAAATAATATTTAGGGAAGGGATTAGGGCTAGAAAGATAAAGGATTCAAGAAAACCCAGGATTGGGAATGAAGGAGAGAGAAAACTTGTGGGTCAAATTTCAGGTTCGAAAAATGAAAGGAAAAAAAGCTAGGGATGAGGACCAGTTGTGGGTTTATCAGGCAAGTGTAAGATTAAGGAGAAGATGTGATATAATAAAGCACTGAAGAGTGGAGGTGGAAATTAAATTGTTGCAACACCAGGTTGGCTGTGGTGCTAGAAAATAATTTTATGTTGGCAGTTTCAGAATGTAGAAAGGATTTTGAAAGTGCAAGTCTGAAATCCAGATTACAACATTCAAGCAGGCTTCCAAACTCATACACAAAAGTTGACTCCATGCAGAGATGTATAAGCCAATTGTGGCACATTGAAGAGCGTGGCATAAATGGATAAACTTAAATGTATCTTTTCTAAGGACACACACAACCCCTACTTGGTCATCTTTGGGAGAATTTTTCACTAGCCACAGGCAACCAAACAAATGCTTTATACACATCAGTCTGAGGTAGCTAGGGATTGAGGAATCAGAATACAAGGTACGGTTTGAATGATGTCTTCATTGGCAAAAAATTGCCCCTTTAGGGGACAACCTGTAGTCAGATAACGGTAGAAGCATGAGAATGGCTGTGGATGAATGGGCAGTTGGGTTTTCACTAGATACTTGGGGGAAATGTGTAAGAAAAAAGGATATGAGAAGATTGCAAGACAAAGAGAATTGGAAGGATGTGCAGCTTTTGAAAATGCCTGATTAAAATGTGAGTTGTTTGTACCCGTATGCGCCTAAGAAAAATTCCTACATTTTCCCCATGATATTAAGGGATAGAGCCCCTAGAGAAGAATAAAGAATGATTATGTGCTTTATCCTTTGTCAGCCGCTGCTTCTGTGTTAATGGTGGCCTGGAGAATGCTGGGAGTTGTACTTTTTCAGTCTAAACCTGCACAAGAGTGCACCGTTAGATTGACTCGACAGGGTGATGTGTGTGTAGCTTGCCACCTGAAGTGATGCTGTGCTTGCATAGGAGGTCAGAATGTAAGTTTTGGTTTTAGCTTTTGAAGGAGATGGGAAACAATCCAACAGATAGGGAGTAAGTGCCAGGCAGTGTTAGTCCTGAGAGATGGTTTAGTTAGGGACAGCTTTCAGATGGGTTGAAACCTGACCAGTTCTCTTAATTCTTAATCAGGCTTCTAGTAATTCCTTTCCAAACATCCATTTTGCCCAGTGGTGCAGAAAGGTGGTTCTGTACTCTGGACCTGATATTCAGGGGAGTGTTGGCTGGCCATTATTTCACTTCTGAAGCACACAGTCAGCATTTTCGTTCTTCTCCTCGCCTACTGTTCTGGGCAGTACAGTTGCTTCTAAATCCTTGGAACTGCAATAACAGCAACAAAAAAAAGTTTGCTAACCCTGATATTCATTAATATTCTGAAGAGGTGCAGTTTTGAAAGCAGAGTATCATCATAACGACCAGAATATGGTAGAGTTGGTTTTGCTGCACTGATGACTTCATCACTTACTGCTCTCTGAGGGGTTATTTGGCGTCCCTGGGGGCCGCAGGGGCAGGGCATTTGGCCCCAAGGCCCAAGCTTAGCTGGTCTTACCTGTGGTTGGCAACTGAGAAGTAGGGACCTGTGGCTTTTCTCTAACCTAACAGCTTTTGTTTCAGGTGATGCCCTCTCCCTCCCTCCCTTCAAATAGGTTTAATGCAACGATGGAGAGTCAGGTTGATGGGCAGTTCACTCAAATCAAAAGTGCAGAAAGGGCCTGGAGCCAGATCAGAGAGGAGGGCAGTGCACCTTATGAGCAAATGGGGACCTGTGCGTATGGTGAAGAGCATGAAAACCTGCAGCCCATCCCATTTGGTCAGCAACTGGAAGGAGGAGTCGCTATTCAGCCAGTTTCAGAGGATGGAGAGCATCTCATTTTGCTGAAGCCTGTGCACTTGAAAATGGCGGAAGAGGATTTCCAGGGGGCTTGTCCCTCTGGCCAACACGATGCTCTGCATGCCATGATGCAAAGAGAAGCTGACCTGGTGGAGGTCTTGCCACCAAGTGTAGATGCTCAGAAGAACCCGGAAAAAGTCTTGACAATAAGTTTACCAGAAGGTGTTTACACGGTCCACGAGATGGAAGTGATGCATGTCAGCAACTTGAAAGAAGTACACACATTACAGGAGGGCAAAAGGTCAACCAGTGAGACCCCCAATGTCCTTGGGATTAAGGTAGCTCTGCTTCTTGATTTAAGTAGTTGTGTAGTTGGTAAGGCAACTGTACTGGGTGATTTATTACGGTGCAATATGAATACTTCAATACAAATCACTTTAGACCAAGTTTGGACAATGTATGACCCTCCAGATATTTTGGCCTACAAATCCCATCAGCCCTAGCTAACATAGCCAATGGAGAAAGGTGATGAATGTTGTAGGCCAAAACATCTGGAGGGTCGCAAGTCGCCCCCGCCACTGCCTGCTTTAGACCATTTTAAGGTACATAGGATAACATCAGCTTTCTTTGCCATCAACCATACTGCTGAGGTTTCTGTTCTGACCTGAAGGGACAACAAGTATGGGAATTAAATTGTCCAAACTGCTGAATTACACCAAGTTACAAATAATTTACATAGAGGACCCTCATGCAGGATAAGTCTGTATAAGAAACATACAGGAAGGATTATAATACAATCCTTTTGATTTTTTTCAGATAAAAATGTTATGAAAAAGTTAGGCCTGTAAATCCAGGACCTGTATCTTGCAAGCTATTCAGCTTCATGTCCTCTAACACACCTGCAGTCCAGTACAGCATTTCTGTATTTCTGGTGTAGCAGGTGGGCCTGAAGAACAACTGCAAGGACTTTGCCTCTTGGTTTTTCTTTACTTGGAGAAACGAATGCTTTTGACTGTGGAAATTCGGTTGTTTTAAGTTAAATAGAGATTCTGTTTATAGGCAGTTCCCTCTGTTGTGACAAAAGATTCCAAACTCATTGTTGGAAGCAAATTTCCAGTGATGGAACACGTGCACCAAATGCAGAAACCAGTCACAGAGGTAGAGGGGTTGCTCTGTCTGGAATCCAGTAAAGCACCGTAAGGACAAACACATTTATGATAGGATGGAGTCCAGTCCTCAAAGCTTGTATGTAAGCCAACCTTAATAATTGTGCATATTTTTGAAGTGCCACCAGCTTCTTTGATGGTTTTGCTTCAACAGACTAAGATGAATAATCCTCTGCAAATAGGGAATTCATAAAATCTTGCATTGTCTTGAGATTGTCACATTGTCAGCAGAATGTATGACATACTAGCCTGGCAAGGAAGGTTCAGGTGACTCCTGTTAAAATTTAGAACTGGAGAAGTTGTGACATAATGCTCAGCCTTTCTGCTTGTGAGGCTAGTTCCCAAGAATTTTCTGTAGTTTGTCCTGGAAGTGTATTTCAGTCTGGATCTCTGTGGTCATATTCTATGTTGCCCACATGCCAAAAGGACCAGCCGCTAATACAGTTAGGGAGTGCTTGTTGCTCCCCTCTCACTGTTTTTTACAAGTTCTTTAGAAGACATTATAACTATCCAATTAAGCTTCCATGTCTGAAAAGCACTATCATCAAATTAGTTTAGAACAGGGAAAGTGCGGTATTTAATTGTAAAACGCAAGTGTATTTTAATGTGCATTTCTGTTGTTCTGTTGCAGTATAGCGCCACCTGGCAGTAGTGTAGCAACCTTGCAAAAGGAGTTTGCAGAGAGTTCCAGGGCATGATGCAGGCAGGGAGGCAGGAGATGAGCATCGCCAAGATGCAACGTAACCTGGCAGCATTTCACCCTCCTTCCCACCCTCTCCAAATGCCACCATTAGACTGCTGAAATTGGCCACCTAGGACTGTGGGGGAGGGGTCACTTCCACAACCCTTCTGCTCTGCATAGGATGCCCATATCCCTCCAGGTTGTTGGATTGTGCCGTTGGTGCAGGAAAGCTCAGAAAGGAGCCCTGCTGTCTTTCCTGATCCAGTAGTGAGTGCATCTGCCCAGTCCTGGGGGCCCTTTACAAGGTGCACACCCCATTGCCCTGAGTGGTTGTTCCCACTTGCCCAGCAAATTCAGTGGCAGCGAAGTGGCCCAATGTTGAGATTGCACTGGGTTCATCTTGCATTTGAAAAATGAATTTGTTTGAACTAACGTTTTCGTACCATTGATATGATCAGCATACAGTAGCATCAGCTTGAACATTGTACTGATTGTGAGGCATTTTTCTTATTTTTGTTGTTATTGTTTCTATTAAATATTTGTACACCACTTTGGATGTTTTAAAAATATAAAATGACATATAAATGTGTTGAAATAGATCAGTGGAACTTCTGTTTCCCACCCCATTTGATTTTTAAACAGATTGATACAAGTAGAAATGTAATTGCAGTTGGAGATAAAGACCAGCCGTTTTCTGCATCTGAAGATGACACAATGAGCCATTTCCTTGCAGCTGAGGCAACAAAGCTTCAGAAAGGTGATCCCTCACTGTTTGGCCATTCTGAAAACAAAGACCAGAGCAATCCATGTGCATCACAGCATCCTTTCGTAACCAGTTCTGATGTTACTTCAAAAGCCCATGGGAGCATAGTCCAGTGGGGAGAAGGTATTAAATCACTTGCACAATTTTATAATTTCTGTGAAAAAGGCAGAGTACTTGATGGTGGCTGGATTTGTTGGCTGGGAAACAGGATGTGGGGGCGGGTGAACCTTTGGTCTGGTCCAGCAGGGCAGAACTTCTTGCGGTGTCCCTTCTAGAACCCTTGGAAAAACTTGTCATTCTTTGATGTACACAGTTACTCATTTATTCATAGTGCCTGGGCTCCCCCTTTCACTGCTAGCCAAAGCATCCTGCGAGATAAGTTTCAACTTTGTAGCTTTGAACTGGACCTCACGCAGTATAATAGTTGTGCATCATTTACAGAAAGTGTATGCCGCTCTCCCTCCAAGACTGCAGCTATGATTCTCACCTCACCCAGCATCCTCACAACAATCCTGTGAGGTTGTTCAAGCTGAGAGAGTATGACTGGCTTGCAGTCGCCCAGTAAGCCCTCCAGTACATATCTGCTACTTTAACCCAGAGATGTATGACTTTTCTGGCCCCAGGGGCCACGTATGATCTGGGCTTGCAGGTCCTGATGCAAGAATACCTGTGTGGGCACATACATGCACATCCCCCCAGCAGCCTTGTAAGGGACCTTTTGAGACGAGTAGAGAAAAGGAAGGGGGAGGTTGAGTTCTACCCTTGAACCTCCCCTGGGTCATCGGATGCTCCAACTTCTGCATCGGTCTTCTGCAGCTGGTGGCCTCTGGATGCACTGGACTGCCAACTCCCGTGACAGTTGGCCTTGCTGGCTAGGAATGATAGTTGCATCCCGGCTCATCTAGAGCTTTTAAAGACCAGGGGAAAGATGCTTTACACATTTATGGAGAGCTGGTATTGGTCACGCTTCTATGCTAAAGAGGTGGGGTGCACAGCTTGAGCACAAGCAAATGCAGCTTCATTTTCACTTTTGTGTGCTGCTAGTTCATCAGAAGTAGGACATTGAGGAGTAAATTTCTAAAGCAGCAAAATTAATGCAGTCAGTAGATTCTTTCTGTGCATGGAAAACAGGAACTCATTCCCCAAGTAAGCTACAGATAGAGCTAGCTAGTAGGCTAATGAGAACAACAGAATGAAGTTGAATAGGGACAAATGCCAAGTGCTGCACCTAGGAAAAGGAAGCCAAATGCACCATTACAAGATGGAGAACGCTTGGCTCAACAGTACCGCAAGTGAAAAAGATCATGGAAGTGTTGTAGATCACAAGCCAAATATCATTCAACAATGTGAGGTGGCTGCAAAAAGAGCAAAGGCTATTTTGGGCTGCATTAATAGGAGTACCACTTCTGAATCATGTGAAGATCTAGTTCTCCCCTACTCAGCACTGGTTGGGCCTCATCTGGAGTACTGCATCCAGTTCTGGCACCACGGTGCAAGAAAGCTGGAAAGGGTTTGGAAGAGGGCAGCAGGATATTTTGGGGGCTGGTAACACAGTCCTATGAGGAGAGATTGAAAGAACCTCGAGAAGACTGAGGGGAGATGGGATAGCACTCTTCAAGTACTGGAAGGTTGTCACAAAGACACCTGTACTAAATGTTTCTGTGCGCTCTTAGAGCGTAAGAAATTGATTGTTCCATCCAGTAGTGGCTGCCGGCCAGTGTGACCAGAGGGGCAGCAGCCATAGAGCTGGCTACGCCTAATTTTCCTAGGCGCACAAACAGCTTTGGGAAAACCTCCCAGGCCACCGATATGCATGAATGGATTGTTTCACAATGTGCTCAAACAATTAGCTGAAGGCCACTGCACATAAATCAAAGCCCTATGAATTCATCAAAATCAGTGCCGTGGCAATTTGTCTATGAAGCTAGATGCGAATTTCAGTCTGTTCCACCCTACCCTGTTGCTGGACTTCAATTGCAGCGCAATCTATTCATTTTATTTTATGTTGACTGTTGCATTTTAATTGCATGTTAATGCATTTGTTTTATTGTTTAACTCTAGAGTTGTGTAGTTGTACATCATCTTGGCATTTTTCTTGATTGAAAAGCAGGCTACAGATCAAAGAAAGGCTCAGTCCTTTTGGACTGCCTAGAAGCCCTCAGACTTGGGGTCATATATACCTCCTATGCGGAGCAGAAGGAGCGGTGGAGGAGTGATCTTCCCTTCCTCGCCTTCCCACTCTGAGTATCTCAGAAGAGGAGGGAAGGAGGTTGAGCAGTTCCAAGGGGCTTCATATCTTTACTTCCTCAGTCTCTTCTTCCTGCCACAGTTCCCATCTCCCAGGTCACTTCCCAACTTCAGAGAGCAGCTGGCCCAGTTCTTTCCATACTGGCTGCAAAGAGGATGTACCTCCAAGGTCAGCAACTATCTTTAGGCTCAGAGTTGGGAATCTGGGGAATCCTGTGGCTCTGAGATGCTGTTTGTCTGCTTATTATACTATTCAGTAACCAAAGTTCTCTGTGGGCCCTAAGATCACTCCCTAAATTAAAATAACACAAGGTTTTCCTCTAACCATTTAGTTCCTTTGTTAAATACCCTACTGCACCAGTAGTGTTTGCTAAACAGGAAATTAAGTAAGAAGTAGCAACAAAAACAAAAGAAAAAAGAGGTGGATTGTGTTGCGAAGCTAACTTTGATGCTCTGAAAAGCCTGATGAGAACATTAAATCGAAATGCTGCTTTACATTCTGGATCCAGAAAACCCTCTGGTGGAAATGCCAATTAAAACAAGTGGGAGAGCCAAAAGTGAGGGAGAGCCGATAGAGTGAATGGATGCAGCCAGTGAATTTGGTTCCCTTGAAACTAAAAGGACAATGGAGGAGGCTGGAGGAGGGAGTGTACACATCACAGATTGATGATGTGTCTTTGCTCAAATTTTCTGCATAACTTAAAAAAACTAAAGGAGGAATCAGTGGGATGGAAATCGAAAGGTCCATGCATGCCTGCTTCTGTCCCCATCAAAGCATAAACCTCTCCCCTTGCTGAATGGAAAGGTAGTAGCTGTCTCCTCCTCTCTACCTGCCCACTGTTTCTTTTTCAAACCACAAGACCCAGTTTGCAAAACAATGGGTTTTCTTCTCCTTGGGGCCAGCTCAAGATAATTGCTGCCTAATAAACACCCTTTCCCATTGCATATGCAAAGGGCAACTGGACTGACAGTTGAATCTTCCCTTGGTGCTGGCGGTGGGACAGCAGCAAAGCTTAGAAGGGTCAGGATCTCCAGTGTCTTGCTGCCACCTCCTAGCATCTGATGCCTGGAACAACTCCCTCATTCCCTCTGTCGGTGGGACCAGCCCCCCTTGTCCTCCAGGCCCCCCTTTGGAAAAGCTCAGAAGCTCTTGGGGGAAAAAGTCACCTTGACTTTTCTGGAGAGTCACCTTCCCTCCAGCTTCTGTTCAAAGGAAAGGCACCGTTGAACACATGCATACCCAGCACCTTCCTATTGCTATTCTAGTCACCCAGTCTGGAGCTGAGTTTTAATGGTCTGTTTACCAGGTAGAGAAAAGCAACTAGAGGAATGTATTGGAGGAGGAGAAGGGGGTTGTGAACCAGGTGCCTCCCTCTTCCTGCCCTATCGCCACAGACTTACTTTGTCTTTCTGACCTCTCAGATGGAGAAACAGCGAACAAACAAACCTAGGCACACTCTCCTCCTCCTCTGCTTCAAATTCAAATACAGGTCACGTTCTCTTAACAAGAGAAAGACTGCTCCCCTTCTGTAGCAGCCTAATTCAAGCAAGAACTGAGTCAGGAGGAGAAGTCCAAACAGGGCAGCCTTGGTTGCTTGCTTTCTTTCTAAATCATTTTGGTTCATAATTGGGCTGGCTAGCCACAGAGCTGCCTGTTTGCAGCAAGAATGTGATGGTCTCCCCTCCCTCTGCAATGGCAGAGCAGCTGAAACTTGAGTAATTTGAAGTTTTATGAGTATGTTTCCCCCAGGGCCCCTACAGGGTGTTCCAAAGACCTACAGGGAACAATTTGCACGCGTGTGACTCCATGCATGCCCAGTCACAGCACTGAAGGCCACTGCCAGGCTGCTGATGCTGCTACTGGGAGGAGAGATGAGTTAGCGGATGTGTTGGAGCAGCCCTAGTGCCTGACCGTAGATACACTTCAAAATAATGCTTGAGCGAGGAATGGGGAACCAGCAGGTGGAGGAATAGGTGTCTGCCCCTGCCCTCAGCACCCAGCTGCTCCGTGCTATATTTGACGGAGGTGTAGAGTTATTTGCAAAAGTCCCAACCCAGAGATGCTGCTGTGTTGTCTCTAGTCCGTTGGTAGACCTGACTACTTCCTCTCCACCACTGTCATAGGTGTCCTCCAGGTTGGTATATTCAGGTGTACATGGCAGTGACGTTCCAGAAGTAGCTTCCTCGGTGAGCTGGTGCTCTGCACAGGTTGCTGAGTGCTTACCTGTGGAAGTGGGAAGGTGACAATTCTTGCCTTTTCTTTTCCACTCGCCCATGAACTGTGAGGACAGCAGCCCAGAAGCATCATTCCCACGTTTCCTTGCAGGCGGTTCCTGTCCTCCTCTGCGTTTCTGTATGGCTTTAAATTCTTGGAAATCGATCTGTGGGCGCTTTGCAGCATCACAGAGAGGCTTCTGCAGTGTGGCTCACTCTGGCATTGCTTCATGACCTACATGCTGAATGATGACAGGCCCATGTTGCTCCAGGTGCAGCTGACTTCAGTGCAGCCAGTACAGCTGGAAGACCTCAAGTGAAGAGATACTGAATGATGCAGGAGAAGCTCATGGAAGTACCTTGCAGTGATGTCGGCATCCTAGAGAATGTGCTGATGCCATTGAGAAAGCAAGGGAGGGATTGCACAAAAGCCAGGGACCCCCAGGACTGGTGGTCAGGCAGTTGGGTCAAAGAAATGAGGGTGTGTCTACCTGGGGATCCATGGAAGGGCGGGTTTGGCCCCCGGACCTGAGGCTCCCCACCCATGAGTAACCTGCCTGGGTGTACGAATAGTCCGTATGTTCAAGTAAGCAGGTGAGGTCTAATGTGAACCTCCTGCAGCGTCTTTTTAATGTACTTTGTAATGGTTTGTATGACCTAATGGTGGCTTTTCTCCTAGGAGACAAACTTCAGCGTTGCAGTTTGTGCTCATTCACCTCCTTCAGTGCATCAGGCCTTAATCATCACATGAAAAAACACTCGGCCAAAAAGACTCACAAGTGCCACCTCTGCCTTAAGGCATTTCGCAGCGTTTCCCTCTTGCGTAACCACGTGAACACACATACAGGTATGGGCAGTCCTGTGCGTTTGCTTTACCCGGTCTCTCCCGAATTTAGCTGACTAATTGGAATGTAGTATGGAGCATCACAGCTGTTTTTATAGCAAATCCTGGGAAACAAAACTTTCTTTGTGTGCTGTCACAGGAGGTTTGCACATGCTGGTTTTACAAACATGCCAACATCTGCCTAGGTCCACAATGCTTAGCTGGATTATTTTAATATGAGTTTAATTTGTTGTTGATTATGTCATTATTTCTATGCCACCCAATAACCAAAACTCTCTGGGAAGCACATAAAATACAAAAAGAATGCAATATGAAATACAGGTAGTAGTAAGAACATCAGAGAAATTACAGGGCAATATTTAAAGGTCAAATTTAAAATGGAATCTTAACAACAGCAATATTAATATGTTGTCTTACTCAGTATTACTGTTGGTTTTAGTTTCTTGCAAACTACTCAGAGCCTGTGGGAATGGGGAGGTATATAAATATTAAGCTAAATAGATAAATATAAATAAATAGCAACAACTAGCAGAAATGAAACAAGACCTGTTTAAAAGCTGGTCATAGAGAATAGGCTTAATCTGGTACTGTAAAGTTTGCAAAGTAAATTAAAGAGGGCTCAACCCTCTCTGTTGGGGGGCTGCCAGTGAGAAGGCCCTACTCCTTTTGGCAGTGAACCAATCAATCCTCTTTCAGAGGTAGCAGTTGGGGGCAGGCCCTGGATCTTGATCTAACATTCTGGTTGGGAGAGCTGTTTTGTTAAGTTTTGTGAGCCCAAACCATATGGGGCTTTATAGGTTAAAATCAACACCGTAGATTGAGCTTATAAGCATATAAGCAGCCAATGCCAGAATTGGTGTTATGCATTGGGACCATGTGGCCTTGTTATTAGTCTGGCTGCTGCATACTGCGCAAGCTGCAGCTTCCGAACAGTCTTCCAGGGGAGCCCCAAGTAGAGAGTATTACAGTAATCTAGCTTAAAAAAAATAAGAGTGTAGATTACTAAAATGGGCTATTCCTGTGCAGATAGGGAGCTGGTAGAAGGTTCCCAGGCAGCTAAACATTGCCTGGGGGATGGGGGATTTCTGTGTAATTTTTAGGGTGATTCCACCCCCCCCCCAAACACACACTTTCAGAGCTGCAAGGCTGGGAGCAGGGGTGGTTGCAAAGCTGAGATGAAATGTCTCAGAAGAGATTTGTGAGGACATTTGTGAGGTTCTTCTCACCCCACCCACAACCTCAGGAAAGGAAGAGTGTTTTGCAAAATGTTCTCCAAATATGTTCTACTTTTTAAATGGCAGACACCATAATTTTCCCCCAGCATTGTTCTAGAATGGCATTGTGCCTGCCCCTACAATGCAGTTCTTGCAAGAGTTTGGAAGAATTTAAGAAGGGTCTGGAGGGGGTTGATTATTTGAGGTAAAGCAAACTAATGGTTTACATGTTTAAAGGACCTATGTAAAACTTAGTGTTACATTATAGATTAGGTAAGCATTTTATGAGATTTAGTTATGTCATTAAATTGTACATTAAGGATGTTTAATTAGTGTAGTTATATAATATTTTAAATGGTTGTTTGTTTTATTTCATAGGCAAAACTTATGGAATAAAATGCCATATAAATTATTATGACTAGTATTTTCTGGGGAATTCAAAATGGTATTCCAGGCTCACAATGCAGTCACTGTCGCTTGCAGAAATATTTTAAATACATGCATTTGGTCCTTAAGTATTTTATGGCCCATCTTACACCTCCTTGTGAGCTCTTCAAAATAAGTAGGTATAAACCCAACTGCTTTGCAAAACTATAGATCCATGGTTTTAACACTGGCATTTCTTACCGGTTTTTGAGGAACAGGGAATGATCTGATAGCAAAGCAGTGCGTTTAAGAGAGACCACCTGATTGCTTCTTACAGGGACCAAACCCTACAAGTGCAGTGAGTGTGATAAGGCCTTTGTGACCAGTGGTGAGCTTTCAAGACACAGGCGGTATAAGCATACTCTGGAGAAACCCTTCAAGTGCTCGTTCTGTAGCTATTGTAGCGTGGAGGTAAGAATTTCATTGCTTGATGTGTTCTACCTGTGTACAGCCAGATCCAAGAGAAGGTTCTTCAAAAGAGATATTGATGCTGACGGTGCATTTTAGAGCACTCCCGTTCCACTAACGTGTCCTCCAGGTTCAGGTGCCACTATAACCCATGCTCAACCCTTTGTTGTGTCTGAACTCGGCCAAGATAAAAGTCGTGGTGAACAACCCACATGATAACACTTGCTTCAGCCATGCCCCATGATTCATCAGTAACCCACAATCAACCCATAATAAAACCCTGGACTGTGGTTTATGTTGTCTGAACCCATTCCTAGTAACTACATCTTTTTAAAGCTTAGAGTAAGCATAAAGTCCTAATGTGGGCTTTAATTAAGTTCACTTGCATCACTGCATTTTTATTTCTGTTTGAATATGGAAGCAGAGTTTGGTTAGGCGTAACGTGTAGCTCCTGATATCAAATCAGACTAATTTTTCATGGAGATCAGTCTTGGCACTATCACAGCTAGGCTATCTCCCACCTACTGTCATAGGTGTGGATGATAGGACTTGTAGTTCTAAGAGTGAGACTTACTTCCCAGTGTGGGATTGGGGTTAGAATATTAGACCAGGACTGGGATAGCCCTTACTTGGCCATGAAGCTCCTCAGATGACTTTGGGCCAGTGGCTAACACAGCCTGACCTACCTCACAGGGTGGCTGTGAGGAAAGTATAGAAAGGAGGAGTTGGCTTATGAAAGGCTCCTTGCATTCCTTGCAGGGAAGAGGTGCGGTATAACGGAAATAGCATCCTTCGCTCTCATACTTTGCGTTCTGGATTGGTCCAAACATGCTTGCAACACATGCTGCAAAGTGGTATTCCCAACCCGGTGCTGTCCACAGATATTGGACTAAAGCCCCAAGTATCCCTCAGCTGGATAAACAGCAATTAAATGCAAATTTTAAAAATGCTATAAAAGCAAAACAGCTGGTTTAACTGGTTGATCACCAACCTGCAGTCTGAGATGTGCGGCCCATTCTTCCGCTTGATGCTTCACGCACTTAATGCTGCTGTAAGTGCCTCCTGATTCAGCAGGTTAAGCAGTAACTACTGATCTCTGAACCTCTGAATGGGTCTGAATGTGTGTGAGTAAAGCATGAAATTGTTGCACATTTTTGATCGGGAGGGTATACATACAAAGGTAGACAGACGTGTATGCATGAATCCTTCCCAGTAAATCGGCTTTAAACAGAAAGAGCAAGAGGACCCTTTTAGAAGAGAAAAACTTCATACGATCTGTAATCTGTCAGGGTGACAGTCACTGACAGCTGTCGCACTTGTAGCAGTGAGCTGTTTCTTTTAAAGGATGGATTACTTTGGTGGTTCCATCAGCCCTGGTCCTATCACGATTAATTTTCATTTATGACTACAGGCCAGCAAATTGAAGCGTCATATTCGCTCGCACACTGGAGAGCGTCCTTACCGCTGTTCTCTCTGTGCTTATGCTAGCAGAGACACCTACAAGCTGAAAAGGCACATGGTAACCCACTCAGGTAAATATTGGGAGTGGAATTTATTTGTTTGTTCCTGAGAGTCACTAAAATACTTCTTCCATCCAGTGATGTGATGCCCACAGGATGCCTCAAGTTCTGAAATGAGGGTAACAGCCCTCCCATACTCAAGTGCCCAGCAACTGGTGTACGCAGGTATATTTTCTCTGATACCACATACTAGCAGCCATTGATTACTTTCTTCATGGATTTCTCTGGCTGCAATTTCATATTTAAGCTCTTAAAAAACTCTAGGATGAATAAGCCCAGTGACATTAGCTTTCTCACTAAGATTGACTCCCCCTTTCAACTTCCTTTCCACCAATCTCACATTTTAGAGTTTTTTCTCTTGAAGTCAAATGTGAGTGCATTGGACCTCTTTAGCCATCTTCCACTTGTGTTTGCACTGTGTGGTTGTTTCCAGTTAGTTCAACAATATTTGCATCTTACAAGAGGTCCTGGGGGTCCCCACCTAGGATTGAATCCAGGATTGTATCTGCTCTCATCAGTTGTCCAACCAGCTGTTCTAAGCCATGGTTGTTTTGGACATCAGAAATTTTACTTCTGTCAGAACTGGAACATACATTTATCAACTCGGAATGGGGGTAGTTGAAGTCTCCTCGTTTTAAACTGCCTTAGTTTGAGGACTTCCTGAATTCATTTCAAGATCATCCCATGCATTTTGGTCTGAGGGACAATAGCATATTTCTAGGACTGAATTAATTTTAGAGCCAGATATTTTTACCCACAGCCGCTCTGTGGAGGAGTCTGCAGCTTTTAGATTTTTAAATCTGCTGGACTTTATTGCCCTCTTCAGTGTACAGAGCAACACCCCCTCCAACCATCCATCCATTCCCAGCCCTCACAGAACTTAAATCCAGAAATGACCATATCCCACTGATCCCCACCATTCCAGCACCGTATCTCATGTCTCCTTTAAAACCAGGCACTGAGGTTCTATTTTGGCTTGTTAACTTCTAGCAATTACACAGAATATCTCTCCCTCTCTAGATGTCTTCGGTACGTGCAACTTTTCTTTGGGAATTAGACTTCTTTGACCGATTATCCTGTTTCATCGTATTTTATGGCCTATTTCCTCCCCTCCTGCAAACAGAAATGGGATGATTTCACCTGAACCAGATGCTTTGCAGTTCCTGTCGTCACTCCTCCAGGTTCAGTTTAATCCTGGGGGAGTGTCAGCAGGAGCTCCACTAGCTTTTTGATGCTTTAAGTAGCAGTCTGGTTTCACTTTGGTTCAGGAGAGCCCATCTCTCTTGTACAGACCTAGGTTCTTGCAACATATTCCTAGTGCCTAAGAAATTTGGCCCCTTTCTTCCTGCTGTACCATCTCATCCATACACACAGACTCCTCACTGTGCTTGTCTAGCTTGCCCTGCATGTGAAACAGGTAGCATTTTAGAGAAATCCACCTTGGTAATCCTGAACTTCAGCCTTCTACCTAGCAACCTAAATTAGGCTTCCAGGACCTCCTAGATACAATTACCCATGTTGTTGTTTTCAACATGGACACAACCACTGACGTTACCCTAACACTCTATAAAACCATCTAGACAGCCCATGATATTCGCAGGCAGGTAGTTCCCCATGTAGTATATACGTTCATGACAAACACAACTGTCTGTGTGTCTAATGATCAAATCTCCCGCTGCCACAAGACTCTCACCCCCAAAGGACACATACCTGGTGCAAGAGTATAATTGCTTTTCTTCCAAGGAGTGGGTCCCTTCTAAGAGACCTCTCCCTCTTTCTCAGAATGATACCTTCCTTGATCACAAGTGCAGCTATATAGTGGTATGTGAGCCTGTGAATTAAGGAAAGGAAAGATAAAGGCAAAACAGAAAACCGCGCAGTGGGAATAATACATGAGCCGAAGAATCCAGGAATCATGAAAAACTAGAGTGGGGAAGGTTGGCCCAGTTGGGCACCTGACAGATCGCCGTATCTTCTGTGGGGGGGCATGGCTGGCTGAACAGAAGCACTGCCATATAGTGTTGGGGATATACTGCAACATTTTGCTGCAACTCCTGCTGGTAATGTGGGCCCATCTATCTTGTTCCCATGGTCTCTTGTCAGGAATATACAGCATGCCAAGGATGCCATAATTAACAGGTGGTATATGGCAAAGGTTTATGGGAGAGTTGCAACGTTTCCTACCTTAGCATGTGGTGAATCAGGTAGAAAAACAGCAGAGGCAAAGAAAATCTCGGTGCAAGAACATGTTTTGAAATAATGTAGAGGGGGAATATGTAACTGCCAGTTAACAATTGCAGTAAAACTGGGAGTAAAAAAGTGTGTGTGTGTGTGTACAGGCATGTGTGCATAAAACTGACATAAACCATTTAGACTGACATTTTGCTTTCTAATTTCCATGTCCACCTTTTTCATTCTAGGTGAAAAACCCTTTGAATGTCTGATTTGTAAGGCTAGATTTACTCAGGCCGGAACTCTGAAGTTCCATGTACTGCACAAACATGAGAAAAATGTGCCAAAATACCAGTGTCCACATTGCAACACATCTGTCGCCAGGAAGGGTGATTTAAGTAAGTTTCATCCCCCTCCCTTTTAAAAGAAATATTCAGTGAAATCAATGCAGAATTAGGCATGGCATCATTATCTAATTTTGATTTAAGAAATTGCTGTTCCAAATGTATCCTAATCTAGCTTGTTTGTTCCAAATCAAGAGCTAACTTGAAGTCTTTGCAATAAATAAACTATGATTTCTTCTGTGTGGGCAGGATGAAGGATTTTTGGTACAGCTAATGAGCATTTTATTATGCCCCATAAAAACTTGTTGGGTATGAAAGGTTTATGAAACCCTACCTACTCAAATTTCTCCCTGTGCTTTCAGGTTCTGAATTACCACATTTCCTTCTATAGCAGCACCAATGCCTTGGCCTTCTGCCTTTCTTCTGTCTTCGGTGCCTGGTGACTTTGTTCAGGCTGCTGTGAATTGTGGTCTGCAGACCTTTTTTGTCTTTCGCAGGATCCCAGTGTGCACTGGTGCATAGGCTATTGATGGACTCACAAGGCAGAACTGGGCCATCAAGATTCCATATTGTATTTTAGCTTAATTACTGCGCTTATGCACTGGTGCGCATTGCTAAGCCCATAAAGGAAAAAAAAGCAGAGCAAACAGGGTGGGACCAATGTGCACATTTCAGAACAGGAATTAATTTTACAAATTCTCCAAAGGCATTTGGGGAGATGTGAACCCAAAGAACACTGATAGAACAGGATGGTTAAAATACATGCTTAAGCTACATTCAGTTGCTCTGTTGACATGTATGCAAAAGAAGAGACTGAGGCCAGGAAAACTGTTGTGGGGGAAATACCAGGTTAGTTTTCTCCAGGGTCTGAAGTGCAAGGGGAAGATGAGGCTATCCTTGGCAACCTAGGACAATGACCATGCAATGCCTCTAGTCTCAACAGGCAGCTCACTCCTCTACATCACTGGGATCCATAAGCAGAAAGACGCTGTCACATTGCTGTTTTTGTGCATTTCTCGCAGGCAGGTTGGTTGGCCGCTGTGTAAGCAGAATGCTAATTAGAGGGACTCCTGGCCAGATTCAGCATGGCTGTTCTCAGGGCTCTGTTGTCTGCTCCAGGGTGGTTCTTCTGAATTTTATGATTGCGTCCACCAATGGTTTTCCTGGTTGTAGCCTGCTCAGTTGCTCTGTAGAAGCCAATGGCATGTGCTGCAGCCAGGACAGACAGACATCATCATCATCCTCACCACCGTTATCATTACCACCCTTACCATTATTACATTCCATTTATATGCCACCTTTTTTCTTCTTGTGAGGAAGAAAACGTAGCTTACATGGTTCCATTTCATCCTCCAAACAACAACCCTGTGAGGTAGGTCTGGTTGGGAGTGACTGACAGACCCATGGTCACCCAGTGAGCTTAATGGTCTAGTGGTGACTATAACCCAGTTATCCCGAATCGCTGGTCCGGCACTGTGCCTTGAACCGTGGGGATAATCAGCCGGAGATGGCAGGGGAAGGAAATGTTCACTTCATTGACTTCTGTGGACCAGATGCAATTGGAAGAAAAAATGAGTGGAGAGCACTTGGCAGCCCCTGCCTTTTGGCACCATCGAAATCCAGGAGCAAATGTCAAGCAGTAGCTTTCCCGATTGCAGCCAAACGGGAGGAAAAGTAAAATTTCAGAATCTCGTCTCCTGCAGCCACTGCTAAAGACCACAGGAGAGCCACTGGAATCAACACTTAAGTTTTATTGCAGGAGACATGTTATTCAAAGTGTCAGAAACAATTCGCTCAGCACTTCCTGTCCTGCTGCCTCCTCTTGTTCTGAGGGAGCTCACGTAGGAGCTGCACAAGCCCTACAAGTTCAGCACATCCTTCTTCATGCCTTTTCACTTGCTCTTACTGCAGTCAGTGAGAATTATGCAAGCACATGCATTTCCTTATTGTAAGGAAGTCAAGTGGCACCACCTTGTGGTTGTTCTGAGTTCAACACAGGACAAGGCAGTCCCAGACTTCGCAAGTCGATGCAAGAGCGTGTCCTTGGTAGGGATGGACAAGCCAGTCTTGTTTCTAGACCATGGCTGGGTTATTTGCATTCCATCATCATGCAGTTTAGTCTGATTCCTGCACCAGTCTTCAGGTTCTCTGAAAGCATTTTCCCCCAATGTACACGTTTTGTACACATCTCTTCCTTATGCATTTTTATATGCCATTTTACACAGAGAACTGCATTGCAACATTTCGGGACAAGTGTGGACACATGGCTGAAGCAGGGATGCCTTCCATCAGCGGTCTCTGTTCGATTCGGCACAAGTCACAAGCAGAGCGTTCATTTTTGCATACAGAAGAGTGATCTGGATCAGGGCTTTGCGAGGGACTGTCCTGTTACTGACCAGATCAGGCTCAATGTTAGGTTAAATGAAGCAGCGATTCAAAAGCAACTCCGTAAAAAGGCCGTGGTCAAAGGCATCATTTTACGAAGTAAGAAGGAATGTTTCCAGGGAATGGGCTGAGGAGCAGCCAAAGGCCGTATGCAGAGAAGCAGTCAGATAGAGTACACGTCCAAAGAAAGCAGAGCAAGTAGGAATGAAAGGTCAATAGGACAAAGGTCCAATCACTGAGCAAGTTCAGAGGTACAAGGTACCAGAGCTGGTAGAAGTTGCTGATTCCAGCAATGGCTGTGCTAATATGGAAGACTCAGATTGCCAGAGCTTCTTGGGCCCCATCCAGGACTCAGCTGCAATTCTGGACAGGCACTTTGGTGGCGTTTTACCTCTGAGAAGGTAGAAGCGTCCTTGCTTCCAAGGAGGCCTTTTCTGTTTCTTCACCATGGTCCTGGCCTGTCCCTTCAGGCACCAGCATTCTTGGAACATTGGAATGTTTAAAATCTTGGAAATAGAGTTTGCCACCTTTCAGCTCTTTTCTGCTGAGGACCCAGGACCTTTTCGGACAGTCCCAGAATCCCAGGGGCAGCTGGCTCAGGAGGTTCCAGATCATCCCCTGAAGAAGGTTCTTCTTGATAAGAACCTTGATAAGAGCATGGTAAGGGACTATTTACTCCCACATGCTGTGGTCATCTTCTGAATCTTTGTGTCTTGTTCAACCTCATTTGGAAACTAGGTTTGCATATTGTTGCATTTAAGCCTGGCCTTCTTTCCTCTTGTAGGAACCCCATGACTCTGTGCATTATCTTCTCCATTTTGTCCTCGCCACAGCTTTGTTAGGTTAGGTCAGTGACTGGCCTGACTTTACCTTCACAGTCAAGAGGGGATTAGAACCTGGATCTCTCAGGTCTCAGTCCTACACTTAAACCACTGCACCACACTGGCAGAGCCATTTCACTGGTTATCAGGTTACTTCAATTGGCTCCTTCCCTTTACTTTTGAAACGAAACAAAATCTGCTGATTGGCGAATGGGAGTAAAACTGGCTCTAAACTTCTCCCTGGGATGTGTGTTGTACTTCTGTATGTAATTGATTGCTTTAAGGTTATTACATCTTTACAAATTGTATTTGGAGACTCTGTCAGTGGAAATGGCGGGATATACATTTTAAATACACTAAATGAGTTCTGCTTATCCAAAACTCTGTGCTGCATGCCAAAGCCATTGGGCCATTCATGTGAGAATCAAGTGCCCAGCAGAACAATTACCTTCCATCTCAGTGCTATGCTTGGATATGGTTTCAGGTTGGCACAGAAGGGAGGAAAAATGCCCAAGATAATTGGGGAACTGTCTGCTGGACAGTAGTGGATTTTGTACTCAAGAAATGACTAGCAATGTCTCAGGCTCCTTAGAGATTTTGAAGCAGTGGGCAAATGTAAGATTACATAGAAGAGGGATGGGCAGCTTGAGGCCCTTCAAATGTTTGGGCTTAGTACTCCCATGACCTAGTACTCCCAGTTTGGGCTTAGTACTCCCATGACCTAGTACTCCCAGTTTGGGCTTAGTACTCCCATGACTAGCTTTTCTGGTTAGGGCTGAAGCAGAAGGGAGCTGTACACCAAAGCATCTGCTGGACCTTAAGTATCCCACCCTGCAAAAGAATAAGTGTGAGGTGCGAAGTTCTGCAGTGTGAAGCTCCTCTCCTCAAGGTGCCAGCCGTGCTGCTTTTCAGAATTCTCGGCCCCCTTCTTCCATGCTTCCACACACACTTATACACAGCCATTGGTGTTTTATGGACACTGAGGATGCACAGTCCTTGGGCTTCCTCCGCTCCCCAAAAATGTTTTGTTCTTCTACAAATGTTGGAATGCCCCCAAGGATACTGGGATCCACCCAAGTGTGTTCCCTCTTGTGCCTGTATGTTGCTTTTTAGGAACACGAGAACCAGCAGCCCAGCCATCACTAGTGGAGGCAATAGTGGTTGTGCTGTAGAACTACAGAATTAAGATCAGACTTTTCAGTGTGTGGAGTAGTTTTGCATTATCAGCTACAGATCATTGAAATGTGGGTTTCCATTGTCTGCTTCTGCATTCATCCCTGAGCGTTTGGGATGGGAAGAGGTGGAGTAATTTGATTAATTCTTACTGCGAATGGCTTAGCGCAAGTCCAGGGGAAGTTCAAAGACAGCATGGGATCACAACGAAAATCAATTCAGGGGAGACCAATAAGGCTCCCTTTGAAGTTGTTGAGAGGTTTTCCATGGTGTTTTATTGTAGCATGGGTCTGGCCCAGAGCATCCATTAGCATCTGAACTTTTATATCTGTTTAGGAAACAGTAATTGATTATATGACCCTTGAAAGCTCTGACTGCATTTAAATTTTATTAAGCCAATATAGCAGAATTATTTTCTGTGACCCAGATGTTCATAGCACATGCAGGGGAGAGATCTGTTGTAATAGCCAGGTTGGCTTTGGTTTGTTGCATTAGGCACAAAGGACCAGAGAACAAAATGTTACATTTCCGATTCTTTTGGTGAAAAGGTAATCAGCCTTTACCCTCCTGGAATTGCCTGCCCTCACACCTAATCTGCAGGTTTTGATTCCCCCAGAATGACTGTGCAGAAATTTAAGAGTAATGCAACTGGGCTTTATGGACAAGATCTGGCCAAATCTCAACACAGAATTATTCAGTGGAGGAGGCTGCAGAGCAGGGGTGTGGAAGCCCTTGCAGCCCACGAGCATCATTCAGTTTCAAAGAAGCTCTTGGGGGGCCACATTCCAATGGTGGGAGTATTGGATAATACTCCCACCATAATACCAGCATATTTTAGGTTAAATCGTTCACTTCCAAAACATTCATACATACATACATTTATCTGTCGATCTAGCTACTGCTTTTTTCCCTTTGGAGGAATTCAAGGCACCTTACATAGCTGGCCTCCTCTCAGTCTTATCCTCACCACAACAATGCTGTGAGGTAGGAGGGGCAAAGTCACACAGTTAGCTCCATGGCTAAGTGGGGACTAGAACCCAGATCTCCAGAGTCCCAGTCCTGCACTCTTAACCACTGTGTCCAATGGCTCTCAATGTTTTAAAAAGTTGGGATGTTGGTGCTCATGAAACAGAGTGATCCGTAAATCATCCCCTTCTCAGTTTCCTGTTTTTTTATATTATTTTATTTTGACTGTGCCTAACTAACTATCCTACATCTTTCCTGCCCTTTCCCAAAATTCTAGGTGCTCAGGAAAGTGGAAGATTGTGAGCCATGCTATTTATAGGGGTACTAGGTTTGATAGCTGTCAAAGCTCAGGCTTCCTTTCAGAATAGGGATTTTGACAGGGCCAGCTGGTTTTTTGACAGGGGCATATTCTTATGTATATGTGCCTGTCAGTAAAGCCCTGGGTAGCCCTGTCAGAAACCTCATTTTAAAACAAGTTTTGACAGCTAGGGAGAAGAGGTGGAGCCACAGTGAGCGTAGGGCTTGTGAGCAGCAATGGCGGCACCGGCCCAGCGATGGCTACACCACTGTGCGGTGTGGGAATGACTTCCACTGGCAGGTGCCCAGGTGAGCTTCACCAGTTGGGTTGCTCCTCCTCCTGACGGGCTGGCTCACCACAAGCTGGGAACAGTTGGCTGGGTTCGAACAATACACCATCCCATGGTGGATACAAGAAGGTCAGCAACAAGCCATAGACTGCCAGGGTGGCTCTTTGCCTTGAAACAATCCACTTGTGAGAAGCAGTCCAGGTTTTCACAAGAGTGCAGCCCACCATGGTTTGTCACTCGCACAGTGGGTTGTGTCATGTAAACACATTGTTTCCAGGAGGCCAACCTGGGACAGCAAGAATAAGGTTGTTATGGGCACTAAAAAGGAAATTTTTGTGGGTAGTGAATGAGTCAGATGGCCTATTTAAGTTGTATACATACTTCACACATTAAAGTTTTAGGCATACGTCTGAGATCTTTTACAACTCTGTGTGTACACCTAAAACGTAGCACGTAAAAGCACTCATAAAGGAGCTGTGATTGACTCCAGGTTTCTGCTGAGTGTACCTTAGTGGTAAATGCAGATTTGCCTCCCTGGAATGTCTGTCCCATCAACCACCGTTAACAGGGTGCTTATGTGATCTGGATTTGTTTCTGGGTCTGGTGCTGAACTGGAGAACTGATGGAAATGCTAATTTCTGAATCCCGTATTTCTTCTGCCCTGGCCTGAGTTTATGTACAGATCGATCTATAGAGATCCAGTGTAATGGAAATGGAAAAATAACATTGCAACCAAGTTTACTTATTTATTTTATTACGAGTTTGTTTGTGCTATTGTTAGCTTGTAAATTCTCAAGTGGTGTCCAATGCAATACATATAATAATATGCTATAAAAATCAATTTTAAAATTGTGTAGCAAGAATTCAAAATGGTCCAACAAAGACACTCATGCAACAGGACATGCTTACTTTCCTGCAAATCAGAGGAAATGTGTGTACACAAATAATGTCTCCCAGAGATGTTTAAAGCTTACCCCGGTTTCTGCCTTTTAGGTGTCCACTTGCGGAACCTACATTCTTTCATTGAAGTGCCGCTGAAGTGCAACTATTGCGAAGAGGTTTTTCACGAGCTCTATGCTTTCAAGCAGCACAAGAAGACCCACAGAAATGAAAAGAGATTCAGATGTGATCAGTGCAGTTATGCATGCAAGCAGGTATTTAAGAGAGCTGGGTATTTATTGCTTGGTGGGATTCGTGGGTTTGAACTTGCTTTGATTGCCCTGCAAATATTTATGGCTTAAACTCTTGCAGAGCCTGAGGTTCGCCTGTGCCAGTGACAGAAGAAAAATATATATGGTAATTCTTGACCAGAGCAATTCCCAAGGATAGTAAGGGCAGTAGGATTTTTCCAATTCCCGGCTCAGATGTCAGAAAGTGGCCTTGGCCTTGGATCCCTCTTGCCCCTGGTGTGAAGAGAACCGAGCCAGCTTCTTCTCTGAGGTCATAACTGACCCCGGAGAACAGGTGGAGGACTGAGGAGAGGAGTCTGGCACCACCAACATTTGATGGTAGTGCCTCAGCTCCTCTGAAGCTCTGCGGTTAGATGGCCAAAGCTAGCCAGCAAGCTGCTTTTCAGAGTCGGAAGAGCACAGAGGTGAGTGTTGCCTCTACACTTCCCTGTGTTAGATGCCTGTAACCCTCTGAGCTCAGAGGCCTACAAGCTCCACTGTTGGAGTGAGCCCAAAGCATGTGCTTCGGTAGAGCAAAGGTGCCCATCATCATTACAACTGAGGGGAAAATGCTTTATCTGAAGCCAATTCTGTCTGTCATATGCCAGAATATTTTGATCTACGGGAATGAAAATGAACAAAATTGTGTCAGCTTGTTATCAAATCACAATTAATTAATCCTGGCCATTAAAGTAGCCAGAAAAATCCATTTTCTGAGTGGGTTTACTTAAGAAGAAGCTTTAGCTCTGTGGTAGGGCACAATGAATATGAATTGAGGCTGAGTTCCTTTAAACCAATTAATCATAAGTGTTTTAGTTGATTGCTTTGCATGCATTTGCATATGAGCAAAACAATACTGCTGAAGCAGGATAAGTGCATCCTTTGTTTCTAGAATCTAAATAGCCAAAATTCAAGGAAGGGAAGGTGGGAAAGTTTCTTATCTCCAGAGATTTTCCCTGGCTGTGGACCTAGTGAGAGGGGCAGGGCCTGGGGAAAAGCAGGCAGACCCAGTGGATGCTCCTGCTTAGGCTGGAAGATTTCATCCCTGTATGAGAAGAGGCATACATCTGATGCGTCAGTCAGAAAGGATTTTTTGTTGTGCATGGGAGAAGGGACAGTGCCTCATGTGCTTAGCATCTCCAGTTTTTATAATCAAATTGTGTCTCTCATTTTAAGTATCTGCTGCCTGATTAACCCGGCTCCAACTGTGGTGCAAGCTTGCTTGAAGGCTTCACTGCATCAGAGTAAGGGTAATTCCAGACCATGTGGTGGCAAGTCCATTTCCAGCAAGAAAATAAATGTAGGGCTTCTGATCTTGTGAGCAGACTGTCCACCTGTGGTTAAAGGTGGGTTCTCCCATTTAGGCCTCCTGCCAAATGCATGAAAGTTAGGGGGCAGGACCAGCTAGCAAGCTGGTTGATGTTGGAGGTAGACCCTTGTGGAAAGCCCTAGATGGCCTAGGCATTTTGCTCAGCACTCTAACACAAGGGATATTGAACTTGCGAAAGGAGGCTCTGCACATTTTCAGGTTGGTATGGTACGGTACTGTGCGACTTCATTTTGATCACCTTTTCTCGCTGCCCCCATGCCTAGGAACGCCACATGGTCATGCACAAGCGCACACACACTGGCGAGAAGCCCTTCATTTGTGTCTCCTGCGGCAAAAGTTTTCGTCAGAAGCAGCTTCTGACAGTCCACTTCAAAAAATACCACGACTCCAGTTACCAGCCACGGGTCTATGAATGCCCCAGATGCGGCAAGGGCTATTCACGCTGGGTAAGCCAACTTGCTTCTTAAAGGACCTGGGGGTAGTCAGGAGGAGAAGTGTGTCTTCTGTGGGCTCCACACAAGCATGGTTTTAAAAATACCTGGTCTTGCCTGGCAAACTCAGAGAAGTGAGTTACTGCGGTGTGTCCCCCCCGCCCCCGGTCCCCATTTGTTCTCTGCCTGAGACCTTGGAAAGGTGGTGCCAGTCCAAGTAGATCAGGAATGGGTAGAAAATAGATCCACTGGAAGATCTCTTGTGATCTGTAGCAGATCAGCCAGTATCTCCAACAGCCTGTGGTTTAATCACTGTTTTATTGTTCATGCAGGAATTAGATTTGGCTGTTAAATTCCTGCTCTGTAGTAACTCAGAGGGATTTGCATAAACGTGGCTCTGCCAGTTCGCTGATCATGGGTGGCAGAAGATCAGTCTTCCAGAACCTGGTAGCCCTCCAGTGATTCTGGACCTCTGGGTCTGATAGAAACCCAAGCAGCTGGAGGTGGCAGCTTGTGGAAGTCAGCAGCGATCCTGCTCCTGAATTATCCGTTTGCAGCTGCATTCCCCGCTCCTTCAATAGGGTGCCTTTTCTGCCCCTAATAGCTGAGAGAGCCTTGGCAGTATGTATATGGGATTGCACCCAATAAGTAAATATACACTTTGTGCAAATACACACATTTGTGAACCTTTTTAGACACTGTTTTTGTACACGCTCTTCCTCACAAATGTTTGAATATTATGTAGCAAACTGGATTCTACTTCATGTTGAGCTTTGGGGAGTGTGAATTTGGTAAACTGCTGCTTGCTTTTCAACTGGAAGCTTTAGAGTTTGCATCCCTTCTTTAATGCAGTATTGTACAAATGTTATTGAACAGATTAGCAAAGCATTCTTTTTGATCTTTTATACTGACAGAATAATATGCGTAAGCATGCTCAAAATTGCGGAAAGGAGAGAACTAGTCAGCCTAGCAAAGAAAGCAAGAGTAGAAAGAAAAAAAAGGAATCGGGTGGTGATACTGAACAAGAAGGTAATTATCAAGTTGTTCTCAGGTGACACTGCAGAGCGAAAGATCTCTGGGTCACATTAGGTCAGTCTTCTTTAACCTGGCACCTTCCACGTGCTTTTGCCTACAGATCCCATTAGTCCCAGCCAGCCAGGGATGATAGTAGTTGTAGTCCAAGTGTACTGGAGGACATCATGTTGGGAAGGCTGCCCTGTGGTGTAGGAAGAATTTTTTTCCTGTCAGACTGGATCATGTTGGTGTTCATCCAGTCTGGAATTTACATACTTGGGGTGTAATCCCATATATGTTTACTAGTGAAACATGGTCCTTTCCAACAATTGAATCCGAACCAACATGTTTATTCCCCATAAACTGAACCCCTCTCTCTGCCCCCCAACGCCTCTCTCTTCCCTTAAGGAGCTGCTTGTGCCAGCAATCCACGCTGCACTACCTACGGTCTCCCTGTGGGAACATGGGAGAAAGAAGAAACTAATTTGGATGATGAGAAAGCTGAGACCACTTGTGAGATGATCCTCAGCTTGATGGACAAATAGCGCAGGTGATGCAGGCTCGGCCATACAGAAGCACCGAATCCCATTGCCATTCATGACCTGTTCCCGTACCATGTTATTCATAGGTTAAAGAGTGCTAAACTGTCTATATTTTGGCAACGTTATGTTAGTGTGCTTGCATCATATTTTGTAAGTAGATTTGTAGAGCTTCAGCAGTTAGAATGGTTTCAAATAACTCTTCTTTTGCCAAGGGTAAGTCCATAACTGAATAAATGGTTGAATTCCAGATCACTTCTATTGTCTTTAGTGTTGCAACTTTAGTTTAAAAGAGCTGAAGTTAAATTGCAAGTTGGATGTATTCCTCAGCGTCATTGATCCAAAACCCTTCAGTGAAAATGGAGGCAGAGAGCTAAAAGCATCGTGTATCCTTATTCTATAACTGATTCTAAATCAAACAGGTTTGAGGGCCAAATTATATGTGAGCTGAAATGTCCTTCAGTGCAGTTTCTCTCTTCCTTTTTCACAAAGTGCCACTATGGGCCCCCCCCCCAATTTGAATGCAAACTCTAGCATGAAAGGTACCAGGGTTCTCAATTCAGATCAGAGACCAAGAATTTGCAATTATCGTTGTAGGAAAAAGTTCCCATAGAATTGAAGGCGATCTCAGGGGAGGGGGTTGCCATGCAAGTTGTGAGTGGAGGAGGCCCAGTCTGGATTGGAAATGCAGTAGGACACAACGGGGGTCCCTGGAGTGGTGCTTTGTGTTAGACACACACACATGCACAAGGACAGAACTACATAGTTAAGTTACTGTGTGCTTTGGCTCTTCATGCTTCCGAAACATGTGAAGGTGACCATGTGAGCAAAGGTTTGTTTTCATGTTACACTAGCCCACCCTGGCCATAAGTAACAGTGGGTTTGTTGTGCAAGCAGCTCACAGTGTGCGCAGTTAGCCTCCTCCTTTCTCCTACACATAATTCTTCCGCATATCATTGCTAACATTACGTCCACAGGGACATTGAGTTGTCTTCATACTCGCCACCACGATCATGAGTTGTTTTGGATTTGCTGCAGGGTTCCCCCCCCCCCCCCCATTTCAAGTTTTGTTTCCTTCAGATTGCTGTCAAACTGCTCGCTGGGTCTTTGCTTTGACAACTGAGGGCAGTGCCTCCAAACGACCCCAGTGGCACCTTGGAAGGGTTGCCCATAAATATTAATGAAAATTATTTCCTTTGGTTTTTTAATCAGACTGATGTAACTGGAGATGTTCGCGATTGTGCATCTGTGGGATGGGGGAGCTCAGGTGAGCAGTGCAAAAGAGGGCACCTCTGGCAAAGTCCAGAGGCAGGAGTTAAGTTTAGTTTTTCCTTTGGTTCCATCTGACAGCTGTCAAAAGACAAGCTGTCAAATATAACCAAGAGTAAAAATGATCTGGATTTTCCCTTTTAAGTCCTGCTGATTATTTTAAAAGTATTGAGCTATTGCCCGAATGAACAGTTTCTTGCACTGGCATAATTCATTTTCTTGCACTGGCATAATTCAATAAGGTAAGATAAGATATTTTCATGGAGGAATTCTCTCTTTTCAACATTTACTCTTTCTTAAAGATGAGTCACAGGTGTCATTAATGTGGATGGGTTGATTTTCCTACATGTTACAAGGAAAGCTACTGTTGGGTTTTGAGTTGATACGGAAAGAATGATTGCTTTTTGTTTAATAGATTTTTTTCCCTGAACAGTTTCACTTTTCAGCTGCATTGCTTACACAACTGCATGTCTGGATTTCAGAAACCAGATTATCTGAAGAAAAAAGTATCCTACCATGCAGCAAGCCTGAGTCATTTCGGTTTATAAAATCTGCATGAGGGGAACTGAGTATAACAAAAGAGACATGAGTTCTCAGGGCAATGGCTGTTCCGTGAGTCTTGAGACATCTAATCCTACCCTATGCCTAGGGAGAAAAATAGTTTTTGGGTACTGGGAGAGTGACTTAGTAAATTCCAGAAAAATCAGAAATAAGGACGTTAAACAAACTAGGCTATCATTTGCACTGGTATGTTAATTTCAACATAGCAGGGACATATTCCTGCAGGGACAACTTAGACAATAACATTATAGCATGTCAACAATGCTATTTATTCATAGCCAACAGGGAAAACGAAGAAACGCAGCAAGCTGACTGTGGGGGGGCTACTTGTGGGCTTCCTGCTGTTTGGCCTGTATTGCCTTTGCTAGCTGTGGCTGATGGGAGTCGGCGGGGGGACCAGTTGTCCTGTAAAGGAAGCCAAGAGGCATATTCTGTCAAGTCCCTGCCACCGTACGTTGATGTAGCAGAGAGTGCCATGGCAAGGGCTTGCCTCAGGATGGCAGTAGAATTTCACTTGTGAATTACATGGCAAGCGTTTGATAGAAAAGTCTGCTGTGACGGGGTTGGCCTGTTGCAGCTAAAGCAACCGAGATCTTGTGACGATTTAAAGATGAGCACCTTGATTGTGGCAGAAGCGTTGGTGGGCCAGAGCACCCTTCGTTCTAAGTGTTCTCAGACCAAGAAATAAGCACAAACCCATTTGGAAATAGCAAAGACCCTCCTGGTGAATTGCAATCCAGGTGTTTCACGCTGCAGTCTGCTTTAAGGTCAGTGATGGAGTGTGGGGAAGTTGAAACGTTCCACCACTGGTTTGTGAGCAGTGCTTTCCGTGATGTGCTGTTGGTGCCCATTGATTCTTCTGCATAAATGCTGGAATGGTGAAGGAGTCACTGGTTTCCATTGTGTCTGTTGCCGTGTTGATTCCAGGAAAGTGGAGACAAAGAATTGGTGAGGTGAGGTCACTTAGCACAGCACAGGTGCCAGTTTAACTTCTGCAATATACACCCACTTTCCATAGAGCAGTCACAAGGTGCAAGAGGCTTGCTTGCTTGCACAGGTGGTGCTAAGTACCTGAAAGATCTGGGACTAATGCCCGGAGTACCAAAAAAAAAAGCCCCAAACATCATAAAAAGCAAAAAAAGAGTGTATGTTAACTTGCATATACCCCTAAATCAATCAATCTCTCCCTCTCCCTCTCCCTCTCCCTCTCCCTCTCTCTCTCTCTCATTCTGTGTGTGTGTGTGTGTGTGTGTTTAATTGACCCTATCTCATAAGAACACCTATGTTTATGTAGATGGGAAAGGAGGGCATCTGATTTCAGGAAAATCTCAGGAGAAAGGGTAAGGGAAGAAACAGCAAGAAGAGAAGCATGTAATGGCAAAAAGCCAGCTAATCCAGGGTGCAGGGCTGTATATTTTTCTCAGCAAGTGTCCATCGTCAAGGGGGTGGGACAAATTGCCTGCCAGAGATTTGAGGGTCTCCAGGAAAGATCCAGGTCTCCAGCCTTCCTGGGCCTCTTGTCTGGCCAGTGCCCCAAATGAGTTGAGTGTGCATTCCAGGAATTGCCTTGGGACCAAAACACAGAATATCTTCATTTTTACTCTAGGGTGAGGGCAGACTTCGCCTTTTTCTGTATGAAAGCCCTTCACCTCTTTAGAGGCCTCTGTGATGCTCCCACCTTCTCTTCACAACTTAGATAAACCATTTCCTTCAAGCTTTGCTCATAAGATTCGTTTTTCAGACCTCTGTTGTGAGCTGTCCCCCTCGGAACCCTCTTGCAGTTTGTCCACATGCTTCTTCCAAGTGCAGAACCCCAAAACGGACCCAGTGGTTCACACCATGCCTCTGAGCATTATATTCTTTCAGAAGGTGATACCCGCCTTCAGTTGGATATTTGCAGAGCTGTTTGCAAGAATGTTGGCTTTGGATGTGAGCTCTGTTGGTTTGTGGCAGGTTTTGTGATGGATGGTGCCTTAAAATGGCCCATTCCAGCCATCACAGTCATCTCTGCTAGGGCAGTGTAGAACTACCGTATTTCAGGGAGTTTTGCTGTTGTATATTGGGCAATCACACTAACCCTGGAAACTCGCTTAATGAAGCAGTACTTCCTAGCATATGACACTAGGCAGTCCTGAGTTTTATTTATTTTTAATAGTGCACAATTGTTCCAGAGCAACCACTGAAACAGTTGAACTCTGCCTAGCACTGTACTGGGAGGTTTTTATGAAGCCAGTGCCGTTAACAATGTCCAATCCTGTATTTTTAATATGACGTTTCAACAGTATTTTGAACCGTTTTCCATTGTCAAATGTTTCATTCATAATAGCAGCATCTTGGGTTTGAGCTGCACCTCCCCCCGCCCCCCGGATTCCAGGCCGTTTGGGTAAGGACTGGAAGCAGCATTTCCTGGTCATGGTAAACATTTCTCTGACATTTCATCTTGGCCTTAGTTGTGATCAAAACAAAGAACTTTAAAAGGCTTTGATTTGGGAGTATGTGCCAGAGGACGGAGTTTTCTGTTTGCTCTTCTCTACATATAATAAAAGTCACATTTCCTAAAGCAAAAACACACACACATGCCGCACACACCACATCCTTGTCTGGTTATCAGTGACAGCCGAGGTCGGTTGTTTGAAGGGAGGGTGGTGCAGAGAGGACATGCCCTCCGACCCCTGGATCTGTCCTTGCACGCTGCATTCCTGCACAGCTGATTGGCTTGCCCTCGAACCAGAGCTCCTGGCAATTTGCTTGGCCAAGCATAGCAAGCAGCCTGATAGAGAACTGGGCCATGGGTCCACCTAGCCCAGTATGGTTAACACTGACTGGCAACAGCACTTCTCAAAGCTTTCGAGCAGAAATACCTCCAGCTCTGTCGGTGGCTGTCTGCATGCAGAGGGTGTGCCTTACCCCACACGTGCCACTTCTGTGCGCACAGAGACAGGTAAAGGCAGTATGAGAGGCACCTGGATGCAAGAACCCATTGGCAAATACCCAGTATTTTCCAGGATGTAAAATACATGCCTCTCTCCTTACCAAAGGCATGGTATTCCTAGCACCTCTTGAGTGGTGAGGTCTTAGAAGTCCCACCATTTATGCATGCATTATTCATTATGTCACTGGAGGCTTATGGCATGTGATATTTAATTAATATTCAATTACACACAGATTGAACATTG